AGAAGTATGTCTGTACATTCAGTGATACCTTGGGGAGCTACCACACATGAGCTGCAGCAAGCCAGCTGCAGGCCAGCTCAGGTGACTCGAGGCAGAACTTCAAAGGGCCTGCTGACAACTGCTACCATTTAATCCTTCTGAGCTCACTGAAACAGACTGCGCCACTCCACACACACATGCACACGCACTGATGACGCTACCAACACTCCTCTCCCACCACAACTACCCCACCACGATTTAGAAGGGCAGAGCCCCATCATTACCTGAAGCAGATTGTTTTAAGTGCTCTCTCTGCCACAGCTCACCGCGATTTATTCTTTGGGGCAAAGAAGGGCAGAGCCCCATCATTACCTGAAGCAGATTGTTTTAAGTGCTCTCTCTGCCACAGCTCTGGCCTTCTCAATCTCGGTAGCCTGGAGGTGGAAAGCCATGTATTGTAGCCAGAGGATGGAGCTGTTGGGACTGCTCAGCACCAGGCGGTCAAAGTCATCTGCTGACTGGGGCTGGCGATTGGGGTCCATCAGAGCTGCCTCCAATTTGCAGAGCTCCTTCTCCTTCTTCTGCTTCTCTAGCTCCTTCTCCTTCTTTGTTTGTTTCTTCAGCTGAAAGAACAAAAAAGTAGGACTGGGGAAAAGCAGGTACTCCACGTGGGAACATGCAGACCAGACTAAAGCACAGCCAGACCCCAGTGTGTCCAAAGCTGGGTGGTTTTCACAGGAAGAGATGTTTAAGAGAGGAGGAAAATCATACACACACCCCACCCCTTCACACAAAGTTCACATCTCCAAGAAGAGCAGCAGGACATGAAATCTCATTTCTTTTAATGAAATACATTGAGACACCAAATACTTTGCTAGTCTTGCACCCCAGCTAGAGGATTCACACTTCACCACCCCACCCCCTGCCTCACACTTTCATCTGTAGCCTCTGGGCCAGTGCTCACCACTGTCCTCTGCTCAGTAAAATTTCAGGATACATGAGGAGAAACTGTGCGAGACTAGGGCATGTTGCTGGATCACTAGGGTGACTCAGGTCTCAACTGGGAACTGACCGTGCCATAGTTCCCTGCACAAGGCAGCTACACCTTGGGCCAGAGAGCATCGGCCATGCATGGCCTTCACAGGGGTGAGTTTAGAGGGACAGAAAATCCCCAAGAGCAAACATGACAGCAATTCATGAGCTTGTTTCTGATTCCGCTGATTCTGATTTTGCTGAATTGCTCACAGTGGAAAACACTTCTGAACAATCATGCATAAAAGAAGATTTTTTTGGGTGTTTTTCGAAATAAGTGGACTGTAATTTGGAAAGGTTGTTCACCTCCAGGTTTTCCTGTAAATTTACAACACACAGAAAAGTAAAAAACAGAGCTGGCATCAAATACAAAAAAGTTTACTTTCATGACAATGTTTGTTTGACCCTAAATAATGATTTTATTTATTTTATATTCATGCAGGCACCCTAAAACAGGGCCTTTTCTCCTCTACTTCAGAGATATCTACTGCTAAACCCAGTGCTCGGAGTAGTTAAGGAAGTCCTGTATCAACCGTCAGAGATGTTCCCTTGGGTTAGAAGGCTTCGCTATGGGGCAGACTGCCATGAAAACACCGGGACATCACATTATAGTCACCACGTGGTGTCTCCCGTGCAGGCATCACTAGTAAACAGTACCTTCGACTGCGGATCATCCTCCTCCTCGCTCTCCGAGCTCTCTCCCTTCTGATTCAGCACAGGTATATCAATTGCATTCAAGTCCTCATCCCAGGTGAAGCCCATGGAAACCTGCAACCTGGGAGCTTCACTAGGTTTCCGTATCTGTTTGAAGGAAGACAGGGAACGCCCTGGGTTTTAGTGTGAAGTTTTTACACTGAGATCAGACAACTGCTGTTTGCCTGTGGCTTCTCTCTTGCCACTACCATTGACTTCTCATGCTTGCAAACAGCCCACTAGCAAAAACATTAGACTCTGGTCACCTCTGCTGTAATTTAAACTCAATCCATCTCAAGTCATTTCAGATGACACAAGCACCAGTCTGTGTCACTCCTATCGGCAGCAATGATACTTACTGCCATCCAAGTCAAAACTGACACATCTCAATAGGTCTGGAAAGTCCTTTCAGGCTCAGGTTCTCCTCCAAAGTTCTCACCTTAGATTTCTTTTTAGCTGTCTCTTCCTCCTGGTCATCTTCCTCGTCCTCCTCCCGGTAATATACCTCAACTCCACTGTCATTTTCATCTGCTGGGCAGAGCTTTGGTTTTTTTGGCTTTGCCTCCTGCAACAAGGGGAAATGAGTGGATGCTGGAGGGTAACAAATGGGATGAATCTTACAGGCAATTCTGATCACAACGAGCCTGACAGCAGAGAGTACGCAGTGCCCTGGCACAGCATCCCCCACTATCCACTCACAGAGACAACAGAGTAAACCCATGCTCACCTACATATGGCGGTAACATAATTGGGCTGCTAATTCAATTAACTCCTACCCAAATGAAATAGTTTCTGCTTGTTGATATCTCCAATGCAATTTAATCTTTTTTTTCCCCCCACTGTATAATTCATGAGCCTGATCCCAGTGGATCTCCCTAGTCCCTTCACTATTTGAGCCAACCAAGTCCTCTGCCATCACATCCATACCTGCTCACTTTCAGAGCGTCCTCTCCTCCGTTTTGTCTTCAGCTTAAGCTCTTCTCTCTTCTCCCTCTTATCTGCCACTCTTTTCTCTTCTGTATCATATCGTGGCAGGCCTAGGGATTCAGGCAAGATGCTTGGCATCCCGGTGTCCTCAGGCAGGAGAGAGAGCTCAATATGTTTTGATTTTCCATTTATACTGTGGTGTGTTGCCAGGAGTAGCAGGAGAGAAAAAGAAAAAAAAAAACCACAAAACAACATCCCACAGCATTTACAGTGACTGCAAGGATATGAACTTCTTTCAAGTCTTCCAGGCTTTTATCCTCCCCTCCTCCACCACCACCTCCTTTCTACTAATTCATGGCCCCTTTTAAAGAAGGATGGACCTACCCAAGCACCTTGGCAGTGAGCAGCTTTCCTTCCGGCAGGTACTTTTCATATAAGGAGTGCTTCTGTACAAAGTAAGGGGAAACATTCTGGAACAGGATTCGGCCCAAAAGAGAAGTGGACAATCTGACAAGAGGAGGAAAACAAAAAAATAAGTATTTCATCATCAGGGAAAAGACCAATAAAAAACTGCAGTGACTCTATCTGTGGCACCATCAGTTCCATAGTGTCACACAAAGTTTCCCTACTTTAATTTCATAGGCTCAAGAAAGCAGCAACAGCACTTTGATTTCTAGGAGGAAAATAATTTTGTGACATCAAATTATGCCAGAGACCACCCCCAAAAAAGATTTCAGAATCATACATTCAAAGTAAGTTCTCCAAGACCCCCTCATATCCCAGAATAATTTTCTTACGCTGCTTACCCAAAGAATACACCTGATGAAGTGACTGATTTGACATAGCCCCTCACTAGCTGGCCTTTTTTAACATCCTTAATACATGTTATTTCAACATCTTCCACTTTGCTGTTGCTCTTTGGGTTTAGCCTAAAAGAAAAAGTGGTCAGAAGTTAAAGCACACATCTGAATAACCTACATTCTGCTCTGGATATTAAAAAAATAAATCAGTATTAATAACAGCTAGCACTTTCTGGAAACTGTGCTGTATCAGAGACACCCTTCCGTTTATTCAAATGTACTAATGGACTATCTGCATCCCTGCCAAGATACACACAGCATTAGGGAATAGACACACTGCTGTAAACAGAGCCAAACAAAACAGATCAGCCTGGCTTCCTCTGACACTAAGGAAATTAGGAGAGTAAAGTGCTGTCTGAAATTCTGCACAGCACTGGCTTAGGGTTTTTTCCCCACTTATTTCTAAGATACTTCATTCCACATGGTTTATGTATTTTTGTTCCATAGAGAAGACAAATAAAGAGGCTCAGTTTTAAGAGACTTTTAGGATTAAGTCTGCTATTTAATCAAAATACTTCAAATGCAGCTGAACGTTGAAAAGTAACATGTTCGTAGCAATCTTTCTGAAGTAGGAACAAGTCTCATCCCTTAAAATAAAAGTTTTATTTGTCCATTTAACACTTCACACTGATCTGCCCAAACCAAGTTACTGTATTTCACCATCCTTTTCTTCACTAGTACGAGATCAACAGACTGGAGGGATGACACATACCGGGACTGCCTGAGAGATAACTGGATTTTGCCATTCTCATTGGAGAGGATGTAACACCTGCAAGGCAGAGTAAGGAGAGAAAACAGAAAGCTTTTTCACCTGTTTAAAAAAGCCACAAGTAGAAAATACATATTTTCACTAGCAGAATGAAGCTCTAGTGGAAACAAACCACTCTGTCCCTTGGAGCACTTGCTGTCTATCACAAACCAGCACGACACAACAGTTCATGAAACCAGCTAAAGGGCTTTTTGAAACATGTCTACTTGCTTTACCCAGTCTCCACTGCTAGTACAAAAGACTTGTTACAGCTGAATCACTTGGTCTATTGCACTCTCCAGCATTCCATGCCCAGGGAAGCAGTGGATGCCCCATCCCTGGATGTCTTCAAGGCCAGGCTGGATGAGGCTTTGAGCAACCTGGTCTAGTGGAAGGTGTCCCTGCCCATGGCGGGGGGTTTGGAACTGGATGATCTTTAAGGTCCCTTCCAACCCTAACCATTCTGTGATTCTATGACGCTATGATTCTGTGATTCCCAACAGGTCTCCGAAGCAGGGATATGCAATTAGTTGTGCATTACAAATGTAAAGACAACTGATTTACTAAACAGCCCACAGAACCACAGCAAAGCTGGGATAACTGGCTTCCCTCACTCCCATCAGCACCTTAGCTAAGATAGTAGCTACTCTCAAAACACACTCCAAGAAGACAGCTGAAAAGGAGCTGCTTAAGACATGGAAAATACAAGACCTTCACCCAAACATCAGGTCATAAGTCAGCATTACTTCTTAGCTACAGACTGAACCTCACAGGTCCGGTATCATCTTATGGCAGCAAAAAGCCTGTCACCAAAAGCGGGGATATTTCTAAGCCTTGAAGGTTCAGGGAACAAGAAAGAGAATTACTGACCTGACAATCTTGCCAACTTTGAAGTCACCCAGCGGGTTCTCCACATAAGTATCATTCAGGTGAAAGATGCTGATTTTGCCAGTCTTCCTACCTGGCAGCGCAACGGTCAAACCAATGTGTGGGGCCACCTTTGTTACCATGCCTACAGTGATGGTGCCCTGCTCCAGTGACTGAATTCCTGGAAAAAGTGAAGGAGGGAGAGGGCTTCATAAATATCCCAAAAGTATGCAACTAAAGCAACAGAGATAATGAGTCAGGGAAGCTGATTTTAGTTGCCCAGTCACATGTAAAACTCACCAACTTTTAGCAAGGTGCACTTTATGCACTCTCCCAGTTCACAGCAATGTTTGCCATGGTAGCCCAGACAAGGTCCCCTAGCTACACAGTTCCAGGATAACTGACCAGTGCTGACAGTTACAATCTCATGTCTGAGATCAGAAGGGAGTAAGTTCCTACGTGTTCAGCGAAGGGCTTCAGTCTGAGATAGCAAGAAAGTGATTCTTTATTTTGAAGGTCTGAGCTCTTGCCTTGCACACTGCTACATCTGGGCCAGAGTCCCAGGGGTTAGGTCTGTCCTACAGGGAGGTACAGCTTGGCTCTGACGTGTAACATCTTCACCTGAGAGCTCAGTGCAGGCCCACCTCTGAGAAAAGCATCGAATGCAGTGGGGACCTGCTGTTAAAGGCTCCACTATACCTGTGAGTGATAAGAAGAGGTTTGTTTTGGTGACATCTGTTCCAGTCACTGTAGCTGATATTGCTTGGCCATTTTTGAAGCTCTTTTCTGGATGTTTTAAGACCTGAAAGAAAAGACAAATTCCCATTTATTACCAGAAAAGGAGCTTTACACAATTCTGATGTTTCTGCTCTGAAGCTGTACACTTTCTAAACACATCTCTGATGTGTACACTTGAATGCCAGCTCAGCACTGCTTCAACAGCTCTGCTATCCTCAGCCAAACTAGCTACAGGCATAGTACCTGCTTGTCAGCGAGGGGCAGTGAGGCCTCAAGGGCAGAGCACTGGACTGGGAGTTCACGTGGATGTCAGAAGTGTCTGCAGTCACTACTTGCAGCCACGTGCAAGGATAAAGATGTTGTGCAGCTTATCTGTAATGCCCTCTTACCTTGGTGCTCAGAGACAGCAGCAGATGAGGAACTCTTCCTCGAATGTCAGGGGTGACTTCTACCTCCAGCCAATTTTTGAGGATGTTGTACTAGGAAGACACCAAAGAACCAGAGAACACAGCATAAGACCTTGAGGGGAAAAAAAGCCCACCCTTCCCTGCTGGATTTGCTCATTTTTAAGGCTAGAAAGAACTACTCCCGCCTCAGCTCTTGCAGCAAGTGAAAATGGTGACTTGGCTTCCACTCTTACACGCATAATGCTGCTATGGTTGGTTCACAGGCAAGCGCACACAGGGATCAACAGCGAGCACACTTCTGTGCTGGCAGCACATGCAATTTCTCAAAGGTCATTTTGCCAGAGTACAGGGTGGGAAGTATCTGCTGGCAACAAACAGGCATGTCAAAAAGGAGGAGTCAGCTCGACTCCTTCACGTATAGAAAATGTGAATTCCTCGTCCTACTCTCCCTGCAAGACACTGCACTTGGCCTGGGCCTCTGTCACAGTTAACAAAGACCATAGTTGTGTCAGTGTTTAGGTCTGAACTAAGGCCTCTGAGGTCACCCCCATTGCTGCCTCCCCCAGCACACTTCTGAGGAAGACCCTGATCTCACCTTTTTCACAAAACAGGTGATTGTCTGTCCAACACTGTAGAGTCCAAGTTTCTTGAGGGCATCGTCTTCTTCAAGGTTCAGCATTGTTGTGACTTCCCCTTCTATTTCACTGTTTACAAACAAAGAGGACATCAGTAAGACATCTTCAGTCCCAACAATGAAGACAGGAGTTCGAAACCCAAGAGATTACAGTGAGCCAGTACTTCTGTGACAATGCCTTTGTGTCATTCATGCCCATCCCCTGCCCAGCTGCATTCTTCTGCAGGGAATTAATTCTTCCCTGGGCTTAAAAGAGAATCCTTCTGCCATGAAGGGACATACCAGAATCCAGACTGGCAGAACCTGAAGCCAAAAGGACATTAAGAGGAAATAATGTGCTAGGAGAGCACTGTGAGGTTTAACAGGGCTCCCAGACCCAAGTTAGTGTGAAAGAGGGAATAAGAGGCCTTGCCACACTGCATACATGTGGAGCTCCTTGCTCATGGTCAGCTTCTTCACAAATGGGAGGAAGAAGGGAAGGAACCTACAAGGATACAAGGTCTGTGAAGCATCTGCAGACAGCAAAGACTAACACTCACCTTGGGCGAATGCTGAGCTCTGGAATGGACCGCTTGAAGTGTGGATGGGTGATGGGCAGGCACCTAAAGAACAGGAAAAGGGTCAAAGTTTCTCATCATCTCCCCAGGCCCCGTCACCTGTAATCCCTCTGCACTGGCAAAAAAGCAGGTGTAAGCCCTCCAAAACTACCAAAGCCTTTGAGTTCCAGTTCTTCCTAGTACTATTTCAGTAGCAATTTAGGTACCCAAAATACTCTGGTAAATTTAGCCTCTGAGGCCAAATCCTGCTTGCATTTAAGGTGTCCAGTGGACCTTAAGAGTTTAGACATCCTTTTCTCTTGCAATCCATACTCAAGATGACTACAGCAACACAGGTAAAGAGCTTATTCACTGAAACCGAGATCTCAAAATGTAACAGCAGACTTCCTGAGGCCTCAACTACTCCAGCGAGGATAGCTGTAACAGTATGTGTGATAGAGACAGCAGCCTAGATGATCTGAACTCAGTAACTGTTTCACCCCTCGCACTCCCCAAGAAGTAATACTATGAGCATGTTTCCCCACCTGTGAGTATTCACATCTCTGCCTCCAATGACTCGGGCTGTCACCTTCTGTCCAGCTTTCAGAGTAAACGTTGGAAAAGAGCCTATGGATACTTCATCCAGAATCCGGGATGCATGGATTGAACCTGTCAGCTTGTCGTCTATAGCAACAGTGACATGGGTTGGTTTGACAGATTTAACAGTACCGGTAACAATATCCCCCAGGGAAAGCGAGTGTTTCACAGCAGCAAGCATCTCTTCTAATGCCGTCTCAGATTCGTTCCGGACCCTTACAAAAACATTCTTCTTTGCTGGGCCTCGCACTGCTAACAAGACTCCATGGTCATTCACCTTCCTAACTTTTATGGTTGCACAGATTGTTTGTCCCACCTTTAGTTTTTCTGAGTCAAAGCGGAAGGTGTCATTGAGATGAGAGGCTATGGGGACAGCTGCCAGCTGCCCTGTTTCCAACAAAGACACGATGGCAAACTCTTCTGCTACGTGCTGAACGATGGCAGAGTGCTGGGAGTTCTGCATGAGTCGCTGGACAGAAATGAAGACAGTGACTTACTCTGCTGAGATTTTGATTCCCTCCACTCTACCTCCCACAGTTCTAAAAGGAGGAAAAAGCAGCCCCCACCCCACCTCATCCCCTCCCGCAAATTCATTAATCGCCTGGAGTTTGACAGACGAACAGAAACACGCATATCTAAAAACTGAACACATACTTGCTTGGCTCTTCGCTTTAACAGTTCTTCCTGAAGTGAAACGTATATCCTGGATGTGAGGGCATCCACATGAAGAACCAATGCCTTGGTCTTCTCACCAGGCACAATACTTTTGCCTATAAATGAGAAGAAGATTATTTACCTCCTGATGACAGTGAAGAATTATGAGTAACTGAGCTAGTGGCACATGCCAGATAAGAAGGGTTGCCTGTGCTTTGGTTTAATTCCTGAAGACCACAGTGATAAGAACATTGATTAGTTACTAACTGTAACTATGTTACTGTAACACAGTCAGCTTAGTGGCTAAATGTGTAAGTCATCTTCTTAATAAGAGAACAGATTTCTCCAACACTAAAGACAAGGAGGAAAAAAATGTCCTTTTTATTCAGAAAAAGAATCTGGTGCTTTTGTCATAGAATCTTTTAGGTTGGAAAAGACCTTTAAGATCATCAAGTCCAACTGTTAACCCAGCACTGCTAATACCACCACTAAACCACATCCCTAGGCACCTCATCCACACGTCTCAAATACCTCCAGGGGTGGTGACCCCTGGGCAGCCCTGTTCCAATGCTTGACAACCTTT